CCGGCATGGCGTTGTCCGCATCTTTCCCTGGCTCGGCTGCTACACCCTCGTCTTGCCGGCCGCGGCCTCACCTGCCAAGCCGCATTGTGTTGGCGAAGATGTTATCGGCTTGTCGGTGCCAAGCCCCCTGGTCGCTCCTTCGCGACCTGATCTCCGGGTCAGGCGATGTTGCGCGATCTCCTGGATGTCTGCGGCCTGGCCGTGGCAGTGCGGTGATGCATCGCCGGTGGCTCGTGGATTCGGTGATCGGCCTTGTTGTCGGCCGTTTTCCAGCTCGACGTAATAAACCTAATTCGCCCAGCATATTCTCTGCCTGCGCAGTCGAGTCTGGTCAAGCAATTGACCCAAACCGCGTCTGTCTGTCACAATCAGACGGACAGCGCTAAGAGGTGGGCGAAAGCAGATGCAGGCGCCGCCCAACCCCACGTAGTTCATAACAGCAGCGATGCGGCCCCTGGCTGTGCTGGTGAAACGCGGTCCGAGGTCCACCATCGCATCGCGAAAGATCACCACCGGGGCACCGTCGCTTCCTCAACCTAAGAAACTGCATCGTACATCGGGACACCACCACTCCCAGGGCAACAACAGTCGAGGCCCGGTCCAGGCCCAGGTGCTGGAAGCCGAGGGTCTTTGCCTTGGCGGGGGACTGCATCATGCCCTGTGCGTGAGAGAGAGAGAGAGAGAACAACCGTCATCTTCACACCATCAGCACCATCACCAGCAACAACATCATCATCACCATCGTCATCATCGCCATCATCGTCATCATCTTCCTCACCGTCACCGTCACCATCGTGATCACGCGATGCTCGAGGCGCTGATGGCGGTGGTAATGACGATAGCAACTTTGGTGCTACTACTTGGGCACGACTGGTGGTGGTGGTGGTGTAGACATGCGAGACGATAAAGATGAAGATGGAAGCTGGCGATGATGATGAGGAGGACGACGACGAGGACGAGGAAGAGGGGCGGTTGCTGACGATCAGGATTACCATCACCGTCAGAACCCTCCTACTCCTACCACTAGTCCGAGTCCGAGTCGTAGTGTACTACGACGACGGCAACAACTAATTGCTGCTCCTGCTGCTGCTGGCCATGCTCCTCCTGCGTTCTAGAAAAAAGCAGGTCCGAGCTTGATGGCACCACGCACATGACTAGACATGATTAGAGTCCTCTTGCAGTCATGACCGCTGTTGTTCTGATTGCTGTTCCTGCTGCCGAGTCGAGGCTTAGCACAGGTGTTGCCATGCTGGTCGCTCGGTCGCTCTTGCGGTCGTAGCAATACACATCATACGGTGGGTTGGGGTATCCCAGTAAACTGGCAACCGGACAGATCTCCGTGATCATCTAAAGCTTCGCTTAGGCCTAGATCTCCAAACTTTTGGAAATCACCTCGACCGTCTTAAAATCTCACAACGAAGGAAACAACAGGAAGAGGAACGCCTTCTCACAAGTAGTAAGTTTTGGTATGACTGCTGGTTCTAATTAATCTGCATATGGGTCTGAAGTTCCTGCAGATGAGAAAAGACCCTGCGGTTTGAAGCTTCAAGTCCGATCTCGCGCCAGGGCCATCACCGGCTCCTCCCGCCGTGGCGCTTCTCCGGCCGGCGCTGGCGCTGGGCGGCTGGCACAGGTCACTGGTCGGCGAGAGCAGAGATATCGGAGGTATCAGACGTGCGGAGCGCACACATGTGGAGAGCCACGGACACGCGCACACTGACTGGAAACTATCAAAACGCCGGTTCTTGATCATGATTTCTTCACGTAAGTCCTGAAACTAGACTTTTGGCCTTGTTTGGGCGATTGTTGGGGTAATGTTTGTTGCAAGGCGGCAGATGTGTGAGATGACTGTCTCTTGCATCTTTCGTGGTAGCCCGTCCCAACAAATTCAGCAAATTCCCGTGCACGTATTATGACAACGAGCCCCTCACTTACAGCGGGCAAGCCTCCGTTCAACACTGCCCGCAGTGCCTGTGGATCCACTGGCAGCTTGTCACCCCATGCCTGTCGCGGGAGACTCTGCAAGAGCTTGCTGCAGCTCCATGTACCGTCATGGCTTTCCGTGCTCCTGATCCAATACCTTCGGCTGACTGTGGGGACCTGGAGCCTGGATCTCTTGCTGGCGGGGACCCTAAGTAGAACCCTCAAACCAAGCCCATGCCGGTGCCCCCAATCCAAAACCTTGGGGCCTAGGAGGCAGTGGCACTACGGGGTGACAGCTGGGGTCCCGCATATAAAAAAGTTATATAATATTATAGAATATTATATAATATTACATTATATTACAGAATGGGACATGGCAGTACATAGTAGTGCATAGTTAATCAAACATAGTATTGCATCTCATATTTTACATAATCGTCTGTACTATTACATAATCTTGTGCGATATTCTATAATGGTGTATTATGTGGTATTGTGTTATATAGAATATTATGTCATATTGCACAATATGTCGCCTTGGAGGCAGTGGCACTATGGGGTGACAGCCGGTGTCCCACATATAATAATGCATCCTACTACATAAGTTTATCTCATTTAATACTATATAATTATATAATACAATATTATAAAATATTATACAATATTATATGATAGTTCTATGATATTATGTAATATTATAAAATACTATATATACTATTATATAATATATCAGAATATTATATATTATTATATAATATACTCTTATATGCTGTTATATAATATGACAGGAAATTACGCAATTTGACATAATACTACACAATGTTATGTAACTTAGGTAACCTTGCGTAAACATAAAATTATATATATATATATGTATGTATGTATATCTATATATATATAGTGTATATATTCTATGTGTGTGAACGTCAATGGCGCTGATGGGCAAGCAATGAGAGCAGAAATAGTTTGAAGTAGAGGGGACACGGTTGCCACTGCGAATCTCCCGTCCATGTACGACCATACCGAACAAGAAAGATAACGTTTCGGTTCCTAACCCAACCAACCCCAACTCGCGCCCTTCAAATCTAGACCCTAGACCCTCGACTCCAAAACCCGAAATCGGGTACACCCCAACCACAAAACCCTTAACCAAGAACCCTCAGCTCCGACACTGTGAACCAGCGGTCCTCAACCCCGAAAAACTGAACAGCAAACCTGAACCCAACACCCTAAACTTACCGAACAACCCTAAATTCGAACCCGGAAGTCCCCCCCGCCCTTAAAACAAAAAAAAAAAAAAANNAAAAAAAAAAAAAAAAAAACTCCTCACGAAGACACCCGCACACCCCAAAAGCCTAAACGAAGAAAGCTCTAAACCCCAGCAGCCGAACGCTAAAACCCTGCACCTAGAGCCTGGACCAAGAGATCGCTAAACCTGGGCATCTAAAGGGTCGAAGCCCTAAACTTGAAGCCCAAACCCTAAACCTAAACCCAAAGCTCTCGAAGCCTGAGCCTCTCGGAGGCGTCGAGCCTCAGATCGATCCCGGGGTTTATAAGTTTGGTATGTTTACGGGGTTTGATAGGGTTCGGGCTTTGGGTTTAGGGGTTACGGGGTTGAAGGTTTGCTGGGATTATAGAACCTCAACCCTTCAGGCTTTGTAGGATACGTTTGTTGATGGGTTTTTGACCGGGCTTCGGCTTTGGGTTCATGCTGCAGTGCTTCGCCTGTACAAGGCCGGCCCCTGTTCTAACGAGCTCATCGACAGGCTGTGCTCAGTTCTGGATGGCCACTGTTCGGCTTGTTGCTCGGCGGCAAAGTGGTTACAAAGCCCCTGTAAGGGTTTAGGGTTTAGGGTTTAGGGAACCCTTTTTTGAGCAGGGGCTGCAGGGTTTAGGCAGGAGGGCCTTTTCGGACTGGGTCGCCTGGCGGCTCAAGCGTTGCTGGTTTGCAGGATATCGCAGAATTGAGTCGGCAGCGCTCTGATACGTTGGTGGAGAGCCCTGCAGCGCTCCTCGGAGGACCTGAGCTCGAATCTCGGGTCTCGAAATTTACCTTTCGTTTGAGTTGGTTGAAGGTTTGAAACGTAGAATTGGGGGTTTAAGGTACTTGCATTCTTGCGTTCTGCATGGCGGCGCGCTGGAAGAAGTCTTTGGGTCAATATGTGCCATGGTTCTGTTGGGAGCGGGGCCGTTAAATTAAAGGTGTGAAGCGGTGGGGCGGCCTGGCTACTTCCGCGGTACTGCACTTAGGTTTGTTCCAGGGTGCGGGCGTGGGGCTTGATTAAAGCTTTCAGACGACGGTGTGGTTCTTCATTTCAAGCGGTTGTAGCCAGGTTGATCCAGACATGCTGTGCCAATGCCTCCGAAGCCGAAGCCAGCAAGGCACTGTAACTCCTTGGCCAAGTCTCCTGCCGAAGCGCGCATGGCAGGTTCTTTTAAATGGAATGAGTTGCTGCAGGCAGCGAAGGTACTTTGCTTTCAATGGCTGCAGTAGGAAGAGACGAATGCTCACCCATGTAGCAAACAGGAAAGGCTAAATGCGCAAAGCCATGACGAATTTCCGTGATGTAGCAATCTGCACCGATCGTAAGATCGTTTACAAAGCAGTGTTCCGCTTTTGTCTTCCAACCGCTTTGAGATTGGCCATGGCTCAGAAGTGTCGTTGAGGAGACCTACCCCTGCTGTACCAAGGGGTAAGGGTCGGCCCCGAAACTTGAACCACAAAGTCGTTGAGGAGACCTACCCCTCCTGTACCAAGGGGTAAGGGTCGTCCTCGAAACTTGAACCACAAATCGTTGAGGAGACCTACCCCTCCTGTAAAAAGGGTCAAGGGTCGGCTCCGAAACTTGAACCACAAAATCGTTGAGGAGACCTACCCGTCCTGTAAAAAGGGTCAAGGGTCGGCCCCGACTTGAACCACAAAATCGTTGAGGAGACCTACCCCTCCTGTAAAAAGGGTCAAGGGTCGGCTCCGAAACTTGAACCACAACAGAGTTTTTCTGCCCGCTTCAGTGGAAGCTCCAAAGAGTGGATGCTTTCAAACACTCACTTGTCACAAGATACTCTTGGACTCTTGGCTCAATACCCTGCCAACCACATGCAAGGGTACTTAATCATCATGTCACCGTAGTTCAGTCGAAACACGCACTCCATTAAGAACAGTTCCTCTTTGACGGGAGATGGTGTCAGCTGTTGAGGTAAACTCAACATGCCGCCGCAGTCGTTGGACACTTTGCCCAAGGTCTTAAAAACGATGGGGAGTGACCAGTCGTTCTCTTCCTCGATTGGTGTCACGATGTGGGGGATGAGCTTCAAAAGGTTCTCGGTGCTTGACAGAGTGGCAAACGCTTTGCCAATCATCTTGTTCTCGCTGGTTACATAGAAAATCCGCACGAAGCCCCGGACTTTACCCCAAGCAGTGAGGACCTTGCCCATGCCAACATACCACTCTTTCGTGTCGGGCACCTTGTCAAACATGTTCACATTCAAGGAAGGTGCAGAAGCGAGCATACTCCCAACCCACCTGAAGGACTCCATCAGCTTAACCGCGTTGTCACTGAACATGGGCCAGTTCTTCATCTCCCTTCGAATCCAACCGCACGAAAGCCTTATCACGCTCCCCAGCATGGCTCCGGCGCCGAGCAACAAGGCCTGTTTCGCCTTCTGCTTCTTCTGGTCATCACGAAGCGCGCCTTCCAAGGGCTGCTGGTCGTAAGGCGCATTGTTCCAGTCCCGAACCGTCTTTGCATTCAGCATGCGCTGCGTACACGCATCACTCGTCGAGAAGGGGGCATGGCCCATCAGGACTTTGTAATGGACATTTGTTGGGATAGCTGCAATGAGGCACGCGAGGTCAAGGAGGGAGAGATCTTCTCCAGTTAAGAGCTTATAGAGCCAAGAGATGACAGGAATGTCAATGGTGTGATCCAGCATGCCCATCAACTGGCCGACAAAGGTCTCACAAACAGTGAAGAGCTCCAAGATCATGCCCTCAGTGCCGTCAACAAGAGCGATGGAGATGATGCCAGCAATTCGCTCCATGACTGTAGTGAGGTCTAAGTGGCTAAACTCCTCAAGCACTTGGGTCTTGAGTCGCTGCGCTGCACCTTGCACACTTTCCTCCGCCGACTCGCAGAGTTTCACCAGCGACTGCAAAGCCGATGGAACCCCCTCCAAGTCCACTTTCTTGGGCGTGGAGGCGCGGGTCACATTACCTTTGAAGTGATGCTTACCCAGGTTGCCCGGGGCACTGTGCTTGGCGGTGGGATCTGGAGTCTTGAGTGCTTCGGCGCTGGTCGTCTTAAGGCCCTGCTTCACGCCTGTAAACTCGGCGATGTTCTTCTTGAAGTCATCGAGCGCCTTCTTCGTGGCAGCCCTGGCCGAGGCCAAGTCATCGATGAACTCCGAGGCAGTCAGCAAGATGAACTTCTTGATCACCCGGTGTGTCACCAGAATGTCCTGCCAATTGAAAAGGAGCTCCAAAAACATAATCACCCATTCAATGGCCATCTTGATCTGGTTATAGACCCATTGAATAGCGCCACCGATCGCTTCGAGGGTGTCCATCAAAGCCGCATAAATCTTGCCCTCAATAATAGCCAATACGTGCCAAGCACCTGACATCCCATCCTTAACAAACTTGATCGTCACCTGGAATGCGGACGCCAAAGCATTGAAGAGGTCCCCAATATCCACCATCGCGGCCGAGCTTAGATCGAGGTCTATCCCTGACACCTTCGGCTTCGCTGTGCTGCGGGTGTGCGCAAGCCTGCGAGGCGCCAGTGGCAAGGAATTCCCCACGTCTTTGCTCGCCTCATCTAAGTTTACGTTGAGCTTGGCGATCTGGTCCAGGGTGTCATCAGGTGTGTCTGGCGGGATCCAGGGCTTCTGATTACCGTGCATGTCCGTGACCTTGGCATCTCGCAACTTGTCCTTGCTATTCAGTGCAGAGTTGCGCTTGAAGGCAGCGTGCATGGGATGCACCTGTAGAGGTACGCCTCCCATTCCCAACATGTTGGTCGCAATGGCAACATGAAAGCGAGTTGCCACTAAGCTGTTGGTCAACTCCACGATGGTGATGGTCCCATCCTGGTCTGTCTGCACCGTCACCGGCTGAGGCCCCACCTGGAAGCACTCAGACGTCTTGACCACAAGAGGCCACAAAATGTTCATCGGGATTCTCCGCATGAGAAGCTGTGGCATCTCGGGCTTTCGTTAGGAGTTTGGAATTGGGGTCTGGTCGAGGTTGCAGGGTTCGGGGTGTAGTTTGATGGTGCTTCAAGCTTTGGGTTGAGAGAGATTGAGATAGACAGCAGACTTCTGTCAGACTGGTGAACATGTGTGGACTCACGTAGACATGGGATGACGTCGGACACCAGCAACTGGGAGAGGCCGAGGACGAGGGAAATGCGACGAGAAGGAATGAAGCAGAATCGTTTTACAAGCAATTAGGCGGGCTGCGGAGAGGCACCTTTCGGTATTCTTTCACAGGGGATTTTTATTTTACTGCCCCACCTGGTAGTAGAGGTGGTTGATACTTACCGAAGTCACAGTGGTCGAAGTCAGCTCAACTGCTACGTTGGCAGCTGTCATGCCGGTCGTCTGGTTTGTCACCTTGATCTCTGTGGTGAAGCTCTGAATGGATCGTGAGTCCTGCTTGTAGCTCGTTGGTGGCAATGTGATGCTCTTCGATGTCCAGAGTCCTGTGCCAGGCGTCTTGATGTACTTCCTCAAGCTAGTGCCCGTGTGGGCAAAGAAGGTGTTTGCCAGGAATTTGCGATCTACATAGGCCGAGATTGCATCAACGCTGGTGAGGATAGGCAGCGGGACGCTCCAAGCATCAGAGTCCGCAACCTCGTCCGTCTTGCATGTGAGGTAAAAGACCTGGTTACTGCCATTCAGCCCCCAAACGGTGACGACACCTTTCTCCTCTGCCGCAAAGAGCTTCTTAACGCCGGCCAGGAGACTGGGTTCCGAGACGACCTTCGTTGCCACGGCATCGTTGCCCTGGTTGCTGGCAGCGAAGTAGTAAAGGCCTCCGTGCGAGGCGACGTACAAGTCGGAGTCGTTGTCCCCATTGCTGTGCCGCGCCGCGGCGATGGCATCGGGCACCAGATCCTCCGGGAGCCGCAGTCGGCAGACGGGCGGCGGAACAAGGGGGTCGAAGCCATAGAGGGGTGCGTAGACCAATTGCGCAACACGGTTCACCTGGCCCATGGTGTAGATCCCGTCCGCGAAGTCGCCGCTGGCCCGGCCCAGAGTAGACTGGTAGGTCGAAGCCTCCCAGTCAGCGGCCATTTGGTGCTTCTTCCACAAAGGCTGCGACTTGCTCACATCTATCCAGTAGCGCTCTAGAAGAGGCCGGGCTGCTTCCTGGTTCCGCAGGATGTCCACAACAATGTGCTCACAGTCAGAGGCCTGGGTCAGCATGATGTTCGCAATGCTCAGTGGCTGAGGCACTGGCACCGGCTTGCCAGAGCTGTCCATTGCGTTGAAGGGTGCATGCAGCCACGGGATATCCTTTGTCCAACTAAGGTCCATATCTGAGTTGTGGAGACTCAGGTACAAGTTGGAGGTGCCCTCTGCTTCGACGCACATTGCGACATGGATCTCCCGTGACGTGCCCTTCCCGGCCACCTGCGAGACTCCAAAAGTGCTCACAGTCCCCCCCTTTGGGAAGCTCTGCTTGATGAGCTTCTCTGACAAGTTGCGCACTGTCCAGCCATGCATGGTCTTCCCTGACTCCTCCACGACAACGTTGAAGTCCTCCTCCGTGCCAATCATGAAGAGAAGCCCGAGTCCTGCGTCTGTCTGCAGCGCCTGAAACTTCTTCTGTGGCTGAAGGATGTCCGACTGGCAAAAGTTCGTCATGAGCTCGGCAGAGGCTGCAATGTTGTAGGTGACCTCCTCTGCGACAGGCGGCGCTGGCTGCATCATGAGTTTGGCTTCATCAACCAAAGCGTTCATGCTTGGGGTCGCATACCTCAAGTGGGTCACCAGGTCACCGGTTTCAGAGAAGAAGACGTGAGACATGACAAAGGTGTCGGCACCGGGAAAGACCCACTGATGATACTGGTTGAAGTTGCCTGCCAAGACTTCTGAGAAATCATGGAATACATTCTCCAGGTTCTTGTTCACATCGCCCACAGCATCGGACAAGCCATCATTCAGAGAGCTCTCCTCGCCAGCAAGACCCAAAATCCCCTCAGCATCGAAGTCCCACTTCGCGGAGTTGGTGGTGGTGGTAGTGCTTTGAGTCGCGCTGAGTTTGCCGTCATCGCTGACGGCAATGTCAAGTGTGACGATCTTTGTCTTGTTGTAGTAGTCCCTCAATGGGAGGTCGGTGTAGTGGACACCCAGCTCATGGTGATGAAAACCCATGAAAAACTTTGCCGTCACGGTGATGATGATCTGGGTTCCTTTGATAACGATAGTTCCATCAAGCTGAAAGTTGAAATCCAGGTAGATGCTGACCGTGTGCAAACTGTCTATCGAATCATCGTGGGCATTGTGGACGTAGGACAATGTGTGAGTCTTCAGTCCCCCGTCACTCGCTGGTGTTGGGCTTGGCAGGGCGACGAATGAGACTGGATGATCGCTCTGCTGCCATCCGACACTGATGTAGAAACTCTCTCCGCTATGATGTGTTCTGCAGGAGGTGTCAAAGCAAAGCCAGCTGCTGGGGGCGGCCGCTTGCTGCGTGAGGAAGCTTGCTATAAAGCTGCATCGCACTGAAAGGACTCCTGATATTTGGCTCACGTCATTGGCGTCCACCCAGTTCCATGAAAAGGGTTCAATGCGAGGAGGCGTTGCTCTTGTGGAGAGATTGTATGCCAAGCAAGATGCTGGGCTTTGAGTTTCCTGGCCGCCGACCAGGTATGCTGCTGTGGAATAGGCAAGTGACTGGAATGCAACCGTAGAGGACGGCGTCGGGTCAACCTTCGACGTGACGGAGTAGCCGAAGATGGGGTTGCCCGTCTGGCGCAATTGGCTGAAGTAAACTCCTGTGAAGATTGTAGACATCATCGCCCATGTAGGGCCGAAGGCGGCATTGTCTGTGACACCTTTTATCACTGGGTTGGCCACAAGCGATGCGGTCTCCAGATCTAGGAAAAGCTTCCGCATGCTGAAAGAGTTCGGGCCAAACTTGTGGATGAACTGCTTCATGCGTGCTCGCACATCGTCCGGGACGGGGGCGTCGGGGTTGATAGTGTTCAAGGTGAGGTCCACCAAGAAGTTGTAGTACCATGCGGCTTGTGCACTGGAACCGGAAGGTTGGATCTTGTTGATCGCGACAGCCTGGTTGAAGCCAGCGTATGTGAGGCCACAGATCTGAAATTCCGAGGCCGTCAAGTTGAAGGAGACCGCACTGTCCGAATGCTTGCCCAGAGTGATTATGGACGGTAGATTGGCCCGGGGCACTCTTGGCAAGCCAGCCTTGGCCTTGAAGGCTCCAACAAACCCGACTTTGGCCAAGTTGACCACGTTCTTGTCAGTTTGGTCAGCACCGTCGGTCAAGCTGAAGGGGTCCGAACCACCGGCCTGATCCACAAGGGTCTTGTAGTCGACCTCGACGATCTCACCTTTGGAGTCAGGCTTGTAGGCGTAGCACTTGAGGACTTCGTGCATCTGGAGCTGGGCCTTAGACAGGTATGTCATCATTGTGGCGTTCACACTGGCCTGCGTCACCGCCACAACAGCGTCGATGTCCTTCAAATGCGACAGATTGCTCGCGAAGCCACTCGGAGAGTCTCCGACAGCCAGTTGGGGTCCGGTCTGGCAGCAACCCATGCTGTCTCAGGAAGCACTACCACCTACTTCCGCCTACAACGGCATGATCATCGTAGAGCTGTCCCAGCCAACAGCAGCAGTGCATGTGAAATCTGATTTCGGGTGCATGTCTGCGTTGGGGGGAGAGTGAACTGCCAGCTTGGAGCGCGCAGCCTTCAAAAGACAGTGAATGAACACTTGTTGAGGTCGTTTCTACATCCTGAAAACATTGATCTAACCTTTCTTCTTGCACGCCCCGCTCTCCCATCCAAACTGCCTCGATCCAACGACTCTCGGTGCCATCATGTAATTGCTTTGCACTGGCTTCCAGGGCAGTGGCCTATGATTCATACAGTATCTGTGAGCCCCAGACACTTTTTGACTAGCTGCATGTACGTGAGCCGCGTAAGAGCCGTAGAAGAAGCCGCAAAGTGCTAGGATGCGCAGACAACTTTCGATGCAACCGCCACGACACCGAATTTGTTTTAAGAATTGTGTCGTAGTTTTTGCCTCCTACATGGCTGAGCGAGTCGCGACGCACGGTTACAGCAATTGACGTGTGAATTCCTCATACCAGAAAGGCATGGATTCATGCGTACAGATTTCCAACCGAGTTTTTCAGTCAGAAACGTCAGACAACACGTGTCGTATCATTTGTTCAATTTTGAGAGTTTGAACTCATTCTTGAACTCACTCTAATCCTTACCATTTGACTTATGATTGCCATCGCGACTCAAGCCAGCATGAGCCTGTTGCCAATCACGACTACTGTAGCAGGCGAGCCCGACAGTACCCGCAAGCTCACCAGCGCTGCTCGCGCACCCTCGACTCTTCCTTTCTCCCAACGCTGTCGCTATTCTTCTGCCGGCTCTGAAACAGGCTCCGGCCTGGCGGGAGAGTCGGTGCACTGGCAACAACAAACCTCAAACCCTAACCTCCCAAACCATGACGGCCTCGAAACGAGGCGAGTTCAGCTGGTCCCTGTGCAATTGCGAGCGAGCGAGCGAGCGAGCGTGCGGCGCTAGCGCAGCAAAATAGGACTCCAGCGCGCGAGGAGCTCGTGTGGCTCCGGCGCTGGTCCAGTTTTTTCTCCCGCCAGCGGTCGAAATACAACCAAATGGGGGAAAATACAACCACATGGATGGAAAACACAACTGAACCAGTATTGTGGGCTAGCCCAAACGGGAGAAATTACAACTGGCTATTGCGCTGCCCTTCTAAGTTTGGACATTGTCTGCAGAAAAGTCATGGTACAGCCTTGCGGTTCCAGCACCAAACCCAGGTAAAGGTGGTTGTGATTCGTCCCTCCTCTTTGTGCCCTAGCACGAATGATGCCTTAGCATGGTTCTTTCGGTGTGCTTTCGGTCATGTAGGTAAGGAAGACATGCAGGCAATACTTAACATGCTTATTTCGGTATGTGTGCTTTCGGTCATGTCGGTACGAACGGCATGCAGCCAATACTTAACATGCCTATTTCGGTTTGTACGCTCTCGGTCATGTAGGCCAGAAATGCATGTAGGCAATCAGAGGTTACAGCAAAGTTGTCATGGAGATCTTGTACAACAATCTCATTATGGGATCCTTAAGAGAAGGGGTTCTACGAGGGGTATATAACCCAATAATCCCCAATTCTCCCTGACCGCTTTTCTGTCCAACAGAGCTGTCTCTACGAGAGTTCTGGAATGTCTGCTTTTCTGTACAGTTTTTCCCCGCCGGATGCCCCCACACCAACTGGGACCCTCCTCTTTGTCCTTCTATTGGCTTCTTGCATCATTCGGACTGTTGCCAGCGCCGGAATCAGTGGGCACACAGCAGACACTCTGTGGGCCACATTCAAGCTCAGGAAGCGCGACAACTATGCCAGCCGAGTCCGCGAACAAGGAACGACCACCGAGAAGACGACTGCAAACAGACACCAAGGCCGCATCGCGAGACTACTCCAGGGAACCCTGCTTGCACCCTCACGTGGATGACATGAGTGCATGGTCCCCAATAATAGTCAGAGGAAACAGCCTTTCTCTTTTGTCTTCACCTTGGCCTTCTCCTGTTCGCGAAGCGCATCAGACAAAGCGGTTGATCCACTTCAGGGTTTAGGGTATACCCTACGCTACGGAAAGCTAGTTTTTTGATGTTTTTTGTATTTCGGTATATGAGAGTTCATAATAAGAATCTACAGAAGAAGTTGGTTATGGTAGCTTCCTGTCAACTGTCAATCATCGGACTTCCACTGCTCCTTACATCAGAGCGCCGAAACTGAAACCTATCCTGTGCAAGCACCAGTGGTCCCCGAAGCCCTAAACCCTGAGCAACCCTCCTAAACTCTAAACCCTACACCTAAACCCTAAACTCTAAACTCTAAACCCCCCACCCCGAACCCATACCGGCTCATGATCTTCCCAACTTCTCCCTTTGCGTGTACAAAGCAGGGGATTCAGGAGTCTCGAAAAAAAGGGGACCTGATCCGGCTAACCCCTGCTAGGGCCGCCTATAGGGTTCCTAAATTAAGGCTTCGGGGTTTTAGGGTTTAGGGCCTTTGCGGGTTCCTTTTCAGGCCAAGTAGTAGCTTGTAGTCATCAGTACGTTGCTGCTGGGTGGCTGCTTCAGCGCGCCTTTCAATTTCACCGGATCGGACGTCGGATCCACGAATCGAGGCGAGTGGAGAAGTAACCATTTCAGACTTGGTGACAGCTCCTAAAACCTAAACCCTACAACCCCAAACCCTAACCTCACTCGCACAAGTGTCAGTCTGATCCGGCTGCCTCCTCTGAGATCATGGGAGTGTGTATTCGACGAGCTGTCGGAACCTAGCGGAAGGTTTAGGATTTAGAGTTGAGGGGCTTCGGGTTTAGGGTTTAGGATTTAGGGTTTGGAGGCAGGCCGGCTACGAGTTTGGAGCCTAACTGTAGTAGACTGCAGGGCCCGGTAGATTCTCGCTCGCAGTCTCCAAACAAAGCAGAACCAGCCCGATACCCACGTACAGCTTCACACTTGCTCAGATGCAAGCTGGCGGGGGGTTTGTATGTATGCATGTATGTATGCATAGACATACATGCATGCACACTGCATACAGCAACGCGTCGAATCGTCAAACTCACATCGGAAAGCAGCCTTGCCTCGAGTGGGTGAAGAACTTGCAGGCCGGGCTGGTAATGGTGAGGCTCAGGCTAAGCCTAAGTAGCAACATCGCAACAAGTCGCGACTATGGCTGTTTGCATTAGGTGCAGCTTGTATGAACGACGCAGCCTTCAACCTCGAGTCCGAGCCCATCAGAAAGCTTGCTGCACACTCCCTGAGGCTGCTCCTGCTGTGATGCCGGGAAATCACCTCAGAACCCTCTGACATTCTGAGCCTCAACAAAAAAAACATCTCAGAGCCTGGCTGCTGCTCTTGCACGTGGCGGCATCAGACTGCTGCCACCGGGCCTGCAGCTGCCCGAAGCTTTTGCACTAGCTGCGAGGTTACTGCGCGAATCGTGCCCGCCCCAAAGTCGTAGATCAATGACACAAAGTGTTTTAGATGTAGACAATGTAGACGCACAGCACAGGAAAGCGCCCCCAACAAGCGAGTTCATGGAGCCTTCCGATATTCGGAGGCCTGCAACAAGGCTGCGGGAACTGATCTCGTCGTTGGAAACATCCGGAACCGCTCAAATGCAAAGGGACTGGACAAACATCAACTGGCGGGAAAATGCTGCCTATTGATGGCAGGCAAGAAACAAGGCGAAGCGGTCAGGCGCTGCCACCCCATCCTTCCATTTCCATGGGGCGAGGCGCCGTCTCACTTTCGGGCCTCGCCATGACTCGGCCATCCTTCTCCCTCCGGTAGAAGACGGCATACTCAGGGTAGACAGCGGCTGCGTGGAAGAAGATAAACTCTCGGAATGTGCCCACCGCCGTCTCGCGATCGCCCAGCACATGGCCGAACTCCCCGCTCAGCACTTGCTCTCGAAAATCACCGGGCTCTTGGGTCACGTAGGGCTTTCCTAGAAGAGCCCTGCAGACCAGGACGGCATAGAGTCCGGCATAGTCGCCAGTGGCATCATCCTGGGCGTACTCGTCCGCTTTCGTAGAGCTCTCGGCCAGGTAGATGCCTGGACCAAACATGGTGCCAGCGCTCTTCCCAGCAAAGTCTACTGTGAAGGAGTTGCTCAGGATGGCGACAGCCGAGGTTGGGTTGGTCCTATGGAGCAAGTAAGCTTCGTTTGAAGGATTGCCCCTCGAGACCTCTACACACCTCTGGGCCAGACCGGCACTGGCAGCCATCGTCTTGGGAAGAATGAAGTCTTCCGAACCTCCGGCTCGAGACAACAGCTGGCGACGTTCTGCGAAGCGATCCCAAATCGCAGGATGCTCGCTGCGGATGCACTGGACCGCCACAAACCGATCTGCCAATTCATGCCCATCTTTGCGGTCACGTGTCACCTTGTTCTTGAAAGTCTTATCCAGCAGTTCTTGCATCCATTGCAGCTCCTCCTGGGTGCCTGGCATGAGCTTCTGGCCTACCTCCCCGGTCAGGCACCCTTCATGCCAGTAGGGTGGAGGCTCTAAAGGCGGCCTTCCCAGGGGCTCCACCTGACCAACCGACATGAAGACCTGCCGACCGCCTGGGCGGTGTCGAAAGATCATCTGCATCTCCCGGGCAGTGACGTTGCTTCCGACATCCATCTTGTTGTCGCTGTTGCAGGTGACCAAGTCCCACGCGCCTACATGATCCACCATGAAGTCGCAGAAGCGCATGGCCCACTTACCGAGGTCGTTCTCTCCATTCACCATTCCCATCTCAAACTCGTCCAAGCTGGCGGGCTTCAAGCGAAAGGCATTGCACATGTAGAGCTTGTCGCAGTAGCGGCCGGGATGTGTCTCTTCACGCCCTTGCATGTACTTCCGGATGAAGCGGTCCAAATGCCCATAGACTCCATTGGTGTCAGGCCCAGAGATCTGAACTGCGCTGTGCCACTTCGGAGCAGAGTCTAAACCGGAAAAAGGAATGGTGCGGAACTCAATCATCAACAAAGGTGCCG